AATTGGCCGGAAAGGACGGAGACAAAAGCACTATGACCAAAGCAGAAATTGGTGCGCTGCTCCGCTCCGAGTTTCCTAATGCAGTAAGTAGAAAAGATGTTTCTCTATCACAACAGAAAGCTGTGATTGCCTCTTTGACATATGTTTAATATTTTACCATCTACTTACAACTGCTATTGTTTTTTTATTTCTTTCTTAAGGACAAAGGCTCAGCTGAAGTCGACAGTTTCTTCAGCAAGATGGATGCCAACAGTGATGTGTTGTCACTTTCAAAGAGTTTGTCCTTATTGTAACAGACTTCAAATTAATTTACAGTTGAAAGTAAATGATTTGGCCACATTGCATCAGTGCTGCCAGCTGTAGCTGGAGGATGATGTTGTTGTCCAGGAGTATGTCGACTTTATACCAGCCCTCACTGTGATGTAAACTGGCAAATAAATAATTGGACCACATTGCCTTGGAAGTGTGTTGCCTTATTGTTGTACTAAATTAAAAAAAAAACAAAACAGTGTGTTCCAACTTGCCCCACATGTCATTGTCAAATGTTCTGAGAAGGGGAAACTTTGTCAAACACATATGAATGATTTATTGATGGTTTATTGTGTGGTGTTGTTATTCTTAGTTTTATATTTTCTGTTTACTTTATAATAACCTGAAAAACAGACATCTGGTTTCTGGTTCCAGGGTAGATATTTAGTTCATGTTTTAGCATCTTGTCCTTCATCAGTCAAACTAACACAGCTGGTTTTGCAGGGTGGATCCGAGGTCTAATAAACTACTGCATGCTGTAACACTGACACACTACATTTACAACCATGTTGTCATAAGAGCTGAAAAGCACTTACGACAACATACAACATGACATGTTCAGTTTTACAATGTCCCCAGTGCAAAGGAAACAACCTCTACAAGAACTTACAGTCTGAAAATTAAAATACTAAAATGTAATATTTAAATATTTTATAGGCCATGTTACACTCTCTCATTATAAAAACCAGGGGAAGGCTGGCCACAAACGCAGAGAATGTTGCGCCATCTCTATTTCTAAAGGCAAAAGGGAGATCAAAATGTATGAGATTTATAAAGTAAAATAAAGAATTAGATAATTTCATCAGTTATTTAATAATTTTTCTCTCCTCTTGAAAAAAAAAAACTTGAATTAACGCCCCACAGTTGTCTGTCTGTCTGTGAAAACATGGATGCTTCACACATATCTTCACAGTTTCAGTATCTGACCAAAATTTCTGAGATATGCCATTGAATAATGTGTTTTATGCAGAATATTATGATGTCACAGGGAGGTGACCTTTGACCTTTTTGGACATAAAATGTCATCACTTCATCATTATATGCTGCTAGACATTTGTGTGGTGTTTTATAATAATTAGCATAAGAATTCTTGAGTTTTGTGAGGTCACACTAGTCTTGACCTTTGACCTTCAACCACCAAATTCCAATCCATTTATTCTTCAGTCTAAGAGGACGTTTGTGCCAAATTTGAGAAAATTCCCTCAAGATGTTTTTGAGATATTCACAAGACTGAGACAGACAAGGTCACAGTGACCTTGACCTTTGACCCATGGCCACCAAAATCTAACCAGTTCATCGTTAACTTTAAGTGGACGTTTGTACCAATGTTAAAGAA